TAATGATAATGACAATGATGATGACAATTATAGCAATTATCATCATCATCATACTAAAAGCAATAATAATGACAATAATCAAACGATATTGAAATGATAATAATAAAAATTATGATAACAATGGAGATGACAAAATGATGTAGGTAATGATAATGATAAAAAATAGTAATAATAATAACAATAATAATAGAAATGATATTGATGGTAATAGTAATAATGATTTTGATAATGATAATATTTATGATGGTATTATGAATGACGATGATTATGATAATGGTAATAACAATAGTAACAAAATGGCAATGATGATGACAATAATAATAACAGTAATAATTATAATGATAATAATAATGATGATAATAATAATAATAATAATAATAATAATATAATAATAATAATAATAATAATAATAATAATAATAATAATAATAATTGCAATAATAACAATAATAATTGCAACAATAACAATAATAATTGCAACAATAACAATAATAATTGCAACAATAACAATAATAATTGCAACAATAACAATAATAATTGCAACATAATAATTGCAACAATAACAATAATAATTGCAACAATAACAATAATAATTGCAACAATAACAATAATAATTGCAACAATAACAATAATAATTGCAACAATAACAATAATAATTGCAACAATAACAATAATAATTGCAACAATAACAATAATAATTGACAATAACAATAATAATTGCAACAATAACAATAATAATTGCAACAATAACAATAATAATTGCAACAATAACAATAATAATTGCAACAATAACAATAAGAAAGATAATCTTCATAACAGTAACAATAGCAACTATAATTACAATAATAATAATAATAATAACAATGACAATCCTGACAAAAAACAATGGTAATGATAATAACTGCAAATAAGAACCAATACTTATCTCAATATAAATGATAACAACAACGAAAACAACACCGCCAATGCTGATGAAAACAAAAGCGTTGGCAACCCTCCCTTGACCGCGTCTCGAACCCCTGTCCCCAGAACCCAAGTCTCGCGCGCTACCCACCGAGCTATCGCCACCCGAAAGAAAGAGCAATTGCCATGCTTAAAATACTAAAATACTTTTAAGCAGGGGAGCGTTTGGGGAAGAATTCTTGTCGATAGGCCAAGGCAGACAAGACTTGTTCAGTGATGCCAAATGTCAAAATAACACACAACATATACGTACTCGGGCCGACCGAGCTATCGCAGCTCAAATGAATTGGTAATTACATGCTAAAATCCTTAGTTTCTGCTCATATTCCAATATATGACTGTGTTATTATGATGATGTTGGCGATAAAGATAATAATATTGAGAATTAAAATGACAAAGAATGATATTAATCATAATGAAGAATGACATTAATGATAATAAGGGTAATAATGATAATAGTAATGATTATGATAACAACAATAGCAAAAATAATGTTAACAATAATAAAGAAAATAATGATAATGATAATGATAATAAGAAGAATAACAATGATGATAAGGATGATGATGATAATGAGAGTGATGATGATGATGAGAAAAATGTTAATAACAGTGATGATGGTCCGAACTAGCAGTAATCATAAGAATAATCTTATTAATAATAATAGTAATAATGATGATAATGTTGGTGATAATGATGATCATAATGATGATGGTAGTGATGATAACGATAACAAAAATAACAATAATGATAATTATCATGAAAGTGATAATAAGGATAGTGATAATGATATCAATAATGATAGTGATAATAAAAATGATGAAAAAAATAATAACAATGACAATACTCAAGCGATATTGGAAATGATTATGAGAAAAATGATAACAATAGAGATGACACAATGATGTTGATAATAACGATAAGATGATGATAATATTTATGATGATATTGAAAATAATAATGATCAAAATAACGATAATAGTGATAATAACAAGAGTCATAAAATCAGCAATAATGATCAAAATAATAGTAATAATAGTGGTAATGATAATAACAATAATAAAATGATAATAATGATAAGGTAATGATAATAATAATAAGGATAATAATAATAATTATAACAGTACAATGACAATAATGATTACAATAATAATAAGTATAATACAGTAAGAAAACTGACAAAAAACATGGTAATGATATCAACTGTAAAGAAGAAGCTATAATTAACCTCATAAATGAATAAAAAGAACACCGCCATGCTTTTGAAAACAAAAGAGTTGGCAACCCTCCTTGACCGCGTCTCGAACCCCTGTCCCCAGAACCCAAGTCTCGCGCGCTACCCACCGAGCTATCGCCACCCGAAAGAAAGAGCAATTGTCATGCTTAAAATAATTAGAGTTTTAAGCAGGGTAGCGTTTGGGCAAGAAATTCTTTACGAAGGCTAAGAACTGTCCCTTTCCTGTGCAAAACGCTTTCCAAGGCAGACAGGACTTGTTCAGTGATGCCAAATGTCAAAATAAACAAAACATGTACGTACT